GGTACGGTAGGTACGTAGTACGGTAGTTAGTGGTACGAGGTAGGAGTAGTAGGAGAGAGAGTAGTAGTAGTAGTAGTAGTAGAGAGAGAGAAGAGAGAGAGAGAGAGAGAGAGAGAGAGAGAGAGAGAGAGAGAGAGAGAGAGAGAGAGAAGAAGAGAGAGAGAGAAGAAGAAGAGAGAGAGAGAGATGAAAGAGAGAGAAATGAGAGGAAAGAGACAAGGGAATAAAAGAGAGAAAAAGAATAGGGGAAGAGAAAAAAGAAAGAAAAAACCGATTTTTGGGGTGGCAATGGATCCCGACCCGATGGGTAGACTTGATCCGGGTTTGAGTTCAAAAATTAGACTCGATGGGTCAGGTTCGGGTTCAAATCTTAGACTAGAATACTACTCGGGTTGGCGTCTGAGTTCAGGTCTGATAATATTTTTTGGGCCTCAATATATAAAATATGTTTAAATATAATTAAATACATAAATATTTTTAATTTTGGATCAGGTTTGATCGGGTCCGAATTTGGGTCCCACATTATACTTTTAGGTCTGGATTATTTTTGGATCTTGACCCAAACTTCAAGTCCCAATATATAAAGGGACAGGTTTCTATACTTCCCCTACAACATAGAAGATCTATGCGTTCCCTACCATCCAACCATCCAATTTTGATCAAGAGAGCCACCCACTGTTTGATATTAGATCCGATGTCTCAAAGTATTTTATTTTTAGTTTCTTTTATACAAATTGTACGGATATGAAATTTGGTACGTGTCATCTTATCATTGGGGCGCACCTATAAAAAATATTAAAAATAATTTTTCGATAAAATATAATAACCAAAATACCCTTTGAAACTTTAATGGGTATTTAGGTTATTTTATTTTATTGAAAATATTTTTTTTTATATTTTTCGTCAGTGCGAATTTACTAGAGGATTGGACGTCCAAATGTTGGTGTCAAAATAGTTTATAGGAAAAAATTAAAGATAAAATAATGTATAGACATGACATTGTGATTAGGGCAATCTTAGCCCTCAATTCAAAACAGACGGTTGAATAAAGAGAAGTATATAAGTTTTATGCTGTAGAAAAAACATAAAATGCTTATCATATATGAAATACAATTAAATATATAGATATTTTAATTTTTGAATCGAATATAAATAAGATTTTTACATTATATTATATTATATTTCTTAGTCTTGTATCATTTTTTTCAATCAGACCCGGAACCAACCCGACCCGTAGAGAAAAAAAAAAAAGAAGTGAGGAGAGAGAAAGAAGAGAGAATGGAGAGAGAGAGGAGGGGGGGTGTGTCGGTCAAATGTGGACTGGTTTTGAGCCCTTAGAAAACGAGGGTTGCTCTCAGTGAGTGACGTAGGGCCCGTGGTGTACAGCACAGACCATTGCATCGCCCTTTCTTTTTTTTATATTAAATGGGAGGAGAGGGAGTGGCCCTCATGGTTGGCTTAAAATCCGTGCATCTCCCCTCCAAACTTGGCATATTCTGTCCTCATTTTTTTTGTTAATACCAAATTGCCCTTACCAATTTTTTTTTTTTTTTTTTAACAGTAGCTATAAACTTTCTATAATTTTAAAATAGATAAATAAATAGAAATGTATAAGATGAGACTCCCTAATTTTAATAAGAATGTCACAATCATTGTCAACCGTTAGATGTGAAATCAGACGGGTGGTGATGTATCACTACTTGAGCACAAATTCCAAACCAAAATTTCTCAAAAGTTGATAAATATTTTAATATGTTAGATTTCACATCCAATGGCTAAAAAAAATTGTGACCTTCATATACAACAAATAAATGGTATTTCACGGTATACAATCCTTGAATAAATAAGTTTTCTCTTTCTTTTTCTAAATTATAGAAAGTGTTTTTGCTAGGCATGCAATACTAACAAAATAAGTAAAATCTCAGTTTAAAACACATCAAAAATAACTATTTTGATATTGAAAAACCTTCAAATCGATCATCTCAGACTTGATTATAGTGGATGTAAATAAAATTAGGATTTCAAGCGTTAAAAATAGTGTCTATTATGATACATTATCTAGACTGTCTATTTCGCCCCAATAATATATATTCACATATTTGCAAGATCTATACTATGTTTTGAGCTTCAAATATCATAGTCAGTGTTAGAAATTGATTTTAAAGCCATCATAGAGATGTCTGATGCTCATGCCTTCCGGACGGGAATTTGAAGTTAGGCTTTACTTTATTTTCATAAAACCTAAGCCTTATAGAAACTACAACCTTCCATTATACACCTACATTTTTGCCAAGGACATGGAGTTTACCTTGTAAGATAATATATATATTTATATATATAAAATGTTTGCTAGGGACCCAAAGTCCTTTTTATTTCCATTTTACATAACAAAGGTAGTGATACCAATGTTATTAAAACTAATTAGTAAGTCAATTAGTGAGAGAATTGGTTAAGTCAAAAGTTGTTCGATCATTAATCAAACAAGTGAGATGGATTCTAAAAAGTGAAGTGAAAAATAAGAATAATGCTTTTAGTACATGAAATATATAAAAAAAATTACTCAATTTTATTTAATTGGTCAAACCGGTCAAAACTAAAAGGTCTGACAAAACCGGTCAATATTGATTTTTTCACCTTTTTTTTTTATCGAACTCGTTTTTGTTTTGAACGATACTAGCCAAAAAACTGATTGGACTGGCCAGTCTAGTCTGGTCTCGAAAACTATAAATAGCACTTTCTCTCTATATATATTACACAGGTATTGGATGGTAACCCCTCTCTCTAATTTCATAGAAGTGGTACTCTTTATGGTAGATAATTTCATAGAAGTGGTACTCTTTATGGTAGATAAGGAGTACCTTCCCGCATGTTGCATTCACCTCTCACCTCAAATGTACGCAGAGACCCCAATACAATATGCTAGGTTACCTAATTATGTTAATTGTTAAGAACTCCAGTAAATGATAATGCCAACTAAAAGGAGAGGCATATCAAAATGCTTTTAAGAGATGACTTACTTAACATGGTACTAATTTTTATTTAATTAAAAATTAAAGCATAAAAATTACTCATGTAGTTTTTTGTTTCATATTATGTAAAGCATACATAGTTTTGATATATTCCCCTCCTAAGCATAATCAGGCAGCTGGGGATGTATACATTTAAAGTTGGAAAATGGTTTGATTGGGCTGCAGCCCTATCAAAATAAATAAAGCCTCACCCCATAACTCACTGAAAATTGTAATTCAAGCATTAGAAAACTTTTACATTGATCATCTCGGCTTAAATATTATGTTTGTGGAAAAAATTAACATTTTAAGCTCTAAAAATAATGTATATTGTAACAAATTATCTTGACCATCTATTTCACCCTAAAAATAAATTTTCATAGATCCACAAGATCTGTACCATTTTTTTAGTTTCAAAATTTATTGTCGGTGTTGGAAATTGATTTTAAACTCATCATAGATATTTATGCAGCCGAAAGTGCTTTCCAGATGAGGATTTGAGATAACGTTTTATTTTCTTTTCATAAAGCCTAGGCCTTATACGAACTTCATCCTTTAAATTTTGGATTTTATTTTATTTATAAAAAATAATATATTTTAACTATTAAATTTCACATCTACATCTAAAAGGTCTGGCATAATTGGCTTTATAAATAGGCATGCAGTAAGTATATATATATATATACCTTTTTCAATTCTAGCCAAA